ATACTAACATGCTTTTCTGTACAAATTGACAAGGTGATTCTAAAATTTATAAACAAATGGAAAAGAACATACAGTAAGCAAAGCAATCTTGAAAAAAAACAAAGCTGGAAGACTCATACTTTGTGACTTTAAGCTTTCTACACAGCCACAATTATCAAGATAGTATGCTTTTACTGTAAGGATTAAACTAGACAGATGGAACACGAAACAGAGTGCCTAGAGATAAACCCATACACATATACTCAATTGATTTTCATTTACTGTTGTATCAAGTCACTTCAATAGGGAAAGGGAAATCTTTTAAACAAATGGTGCTAGAACAACTAGATAATCTATTATGTGTTTTCTAAGCTCACCAAGCAATTAATTTGATTCTGACCCTATCTACACCAGGTACTGTACCTGGTGTAGACAGTGTCACAGCACCAGATCTCACAGGTTAAGGACTCAATCCTACCAGACTACTCCCACTTCAGACACCAATCACAGGCCTAGGTTGTTACCTGTGCCTGGACTGACGGGCTATAAATCAGAAGTTCTCATAACCCCTTCCCTTCAGGTGTGATTAATTTATAAGAGTGGCTCACAGAACTCAGAGAAACATTTACTTATGTTTACTAGTTTATTATAAAGGGTTTCAGAAAGAATATAGATAAACAGCCTGATGAAGAGATACAAAGAGCAAGGTCCAAAAAGGCCCTCAGCATACGAGCTTTTGTCCCCACAGAACTAGGTATGCAGAACCCACGAGGATGTAAATACATTCACCAACGCAGAAGCTCATTGAAAGTTTTCATAGCTTACTTAATCTAAACCACACCATACTTCCCCTTCCCTTTCCCCTTCCCAGAGGTCAGTGGATGGGGCTGATAAAGTCCCAACCCTCTAAACACTTGGGTCTTTCTGGAGACCAGCCCCATCATGAGTCTATCCAGGGTTCCCACTGTAAGTCACCTTACTAGCATGAACTCAGGTGTGCTCAAAAAGGGATTCCTCATAAATGACAAAAGATACTCCTATTGATAACTCAGGAAATTCCAAGGGTTTTAGGAGATTTGTGCCAGGACCCAAGAGCAAAAACAAATATATTTACTATTATACCACAACTCTGAAAAAATATAAACCATTATCTCACTTCCCACACAAAATTTAAGATGTGCAAACCAGAACTATAAAGCTCTGAGACAATAATATATGAGAGTATGTTTGTAACCTTGGATTGACAGGCAAAGATTTCCTAGAGAGGACACAAAAAGCATTCAGCATTAAAAAAAATTTTTTTGATAAAATGGATTTCATGAAAATTTAAAACATCAGTTAATGAAAAGGCAAGCCACATACTGGGAGAAATATTCCCAATACATATATCTGACAATGGACTCACAGCCAGAATATATTAAAACTCTTACAACTCAATTATAACAAGAAAAATGAGCCAATAAAAAAATGAGTAGAAGACTTCACAGACACTTCATAAAGGAAGACACAGTGATATCTAATACATACATGAAAAGAGGCTAAACATCACTGAACATCAGGGAAGCACAAACTAAAATGATAAGAAGATACCATTTTACATCCACTAGTGAAGAGACTGACAACACCAAATACTGACAAGATGCGAAGCAACTGAAACTCTTATGAACTCTGGTACAAGTATTTATAGCAGCATTATTCATAATAGCCAAAAACTGGAGTCTACCCAAAAGTCCATCAATAGAAGAACAAACAGTATTTGATTATATTCATGCAATGAATACTACTGAGCAATAAAAAGGGACTCATTTACTGATACAGGCAACAAAAGGATGATGTTCAAATGCATTAGGCTAAGAGAAAGAAACCAAATACAACTACATTCTGTAGGTTTCCATTTATATGAAGTGTGAGAACAAGCAGAACTCATTTATGATACTGGAAATCACAACTGTGATGGCCTATGAGTGGGAGATTGAATAAAAGAATGCCCAATGAAACACTATGGGGGATGTAAATGTTCTCTGTCTTGATTGGGGTATGGTTACACAGATATATACACATTTATCAAAAATAACTAAACCATACTTATAAGCTCTCTGCATCCCATAGTATGCATAAGTTTAACTCAATAAAATCTCACAAGGGAGAGGGAAAAAACTTTAAACCAGGCTTTCAGTTCAAGATGGTAGACTGACCATAAGTATTTACCTTCTTCCTCAAAAGAGTAACTATGAAGAGACATGAAAGGAACTTCTATATTCTATTTATCATGTCCTGAATAATTATATAGGTATTTTCACTTGGGGATAATCCATCTAACTGTGCACTTATGACTTGTACACTCTTCTGTATATATGTTATATGCAATTTTTTTTTCTATTAGCCAATGAATCAGGTAGCCTCCACAGTTCACTGCTGTACAGAGCAACTATCGAGCCACTAAATTTTCACAAAAGATGTTAAACTTACCAAGTGTTGGTGTGCTTTCCTAAAGCAAAACAAAAAACAAAAATAAAACACTCCCTAATTAGCAACTCAGATGATAAACACTGGTCACAGTATAGTCCAAAAATATCAACTTTTCACCCCCAATTAAAATGTGCAAATGATAAAAGTAACTTTTAAAAAGACTGTAAGGTGAATATACAGTGTAATGTCCTAATATCTTACAGAGTATCCCAATAAAATAAGCTATAGATCCATTTTCTCACCTCATCTTTCATCCTGATATTTTGCAGCATGTTTTGCTAAAAATGGACCTTCAGCATTTATGTGAGTAAACAGTAACTTTTTTTCTTAATTTTTTTAACACTTATTTTTGAGAGACAAAGACAGAGCACAAGCAGGGGAGGGGAAGAGAGAGAGGGAGACACAGAATCTGAAGCAGGCTCCAGGCTCTGGGCTGTCAGCACAGAGCCAGATGCAGGGCTTGAACCCATGAACTGTGAGATCATGACCTGAGCCAAAGTCAGACGCTTAACTGACTGAGCCACCCAGGCTCCCCTAAACTGTGACTTTTATATGACTTATGTGTCAGGGAGCCAAATCTCCAAATCTCCACTAGGGCCTCTACCAGACTACCAAATTCCATAAATATTTCTTAAGCTTAGTATTTGATAACTGTTGAGAAGAACATGAATAATGTCAGATGACTGACATGATGGGAGTGTGGCTTGAATTCAGAAATCAAAAATGTATAATGCCAGCAATTAACATAATTATTCTATAACTCCAACAGTATTCAGCAGTAGATAAAAAGGCTGGGTTATGGAAGGACATTGACTGATAATGTGGAATCAGGATCCTGCCCCTCCTCTCTTCCCTAACACCTCAGAATAAAAAAATAATAAATCTGGTTTCTTCTTTGATCTTTTACCTCTGGTTTCATAAGGTTTTCTTCATTTATAAAAGCAGGTACTAAATATAAGTGTGAGTTTCAGGCACAAATTTTTTGCAGACTAATTAATGTGTACTGTCAGGTTTACTTTCACTCCTCCATGGGAAACTCCCTTTGCCCCTCTCCTGAGGGTACGTGCATAATGGGTCTCTCTCGTCTACCCTCAGGGGCTCTTTTACCAGAGATGTTTTCATCACCTGTTGCAGTCTGAGGTTTAAATGGATCTTAGTACTTAAAAAGGACACTTGGAGGCAGGATCCTGTTTCCCTTAGAGGACAGCACCAATACTTGGCTATATCTCTGTGTCTCTTATCACTGATTTGGATCTCCAAGACTCTGATCACTTTGAGAAATACAAGTATTTCCATTTTCTTGTGACCATCCATAAGGCTTAGGAAAAAATTTGAATCATTTCCTGTTGAGAATTATAATAGTAACATAGGAAGGGAAAATTAATATTTAGAATATTCTGATGACAAAATCAGAATTTTCCTCTTGGTGTTTCCAAATTCCCACTGACTCTAACTTTAATTATAACCTGAATAAAGGCTGTTGTAGAATTTCCTTAAAAAAAAAAAAAGAGGCTGAGTTAATCCACACAAATAAAGGTTAAAGATCAAGGTCACAAAGGAATTGGTAAAGAAGGGGTGTTGTTGGGAATACAACTGAAATAGCCAACTATGGGATCTGAGTATAAAAGAGGAGGAAATGCAGCCATGAGACTTGAACGCACTAGGAAAGTAGCAGGACTCTGGGACCAGAGATCAAAAAGCACATTTATCAGAACTTAAGCAGCAGAAGGAAGACAAGATGTAACATTAAAAAAGAGTTTCAGAGTTCAAGACATATTTCATTTACCAACTATTTCAACTAGAAATGAATATAGGAATATCTATGATTAGAATTGTCAACTTATCACGTAATTCCTGACCCAAAGTAAAATCTGAATAAATAAGGGATAATTGCTGTAAATGGATGGAGAAAATCCAAATTACTTATAATATTTATCTAGAACATAATTAACTACAAATTCACAGCTACTAGAAAAAAATTAAAATTATTTCTATAAATAACATATATCCCATCTGATATTTTTAGATTATCCAATCAACTGTTCTCTTCCTTAAGGATAAATTAAAGTTGATTGGGCAGATATTATATACATAAATAAAGAGCCAGATGTACTCAGAGTAAAACAAAATTTTATTTTGTTCTAAAGCAATTTTAAAACGTGAGCATGATTTATATAATTTTTTTCTACATGCAAGAATGTCTACACTGCCCTTATAACTCAATATTGGCCACAATGAGATTAAACATAAATCTAAAGAAGGCAGATTACTTATAGATTTCATCATCTGACTGCAGACTCTGAACAAAGCAAAAGAACAATATAAAATAAGACATTAAGATTTTTGGTAATCATAAGCAATGGGTAAGATTAAATCACAGACCAGTGAAACTGGTCTTGGTGCCACATAATTCATTATACATCCAGTCGATTAGTTGGATTCTTTTGCAAAACATCTCAAGCCTGAATGCAAATATTAACCACTCTCCAATCAGCAAATGCATTAACAATAATGTGCCAATAATAAAATGACACTTAATTCAATTTTCTTACCTGCCTCAATAGTTTCTCAATAGCTGACATTACCATAAGGCCTCTCCAAACAACTGGTGCAGTCTCTTCAACCAGGAAGCCCATAGACATACTGCAAGAGTAAACCAAAAATATAGCTAATTTACATATATTAATCAATAGTATTCTGAAAAGTAACATAAAGTAAAAAAGATATACTTACCAAGCAATACCATAATTCAAAAGAGGCCTCATTAGGTTGTCTGAAGTTAAAAAATAAAAAATAAAAAACTCTCTTTTAGAATATACAAACATACTGACTTATTTTCTTATCAAAAAGTGTCAAATTAAAAATACAAATGGGCTATTCAAACTGCTGCTCTTTAACTTCCAACTTATTCACCTCAATAAACAACAGTTTAAACATTATACCAAGCACACAACCAATACTTACAATAGATACAACATCTAAAAATAGTTGGGATAAAGTTTTAAGAAACATATATAATTTTCAAGTGTTTCTAAAAAAATAGCCTCCGTAAGTAATTGTATCCATCAATTTTATTCATATATATAAATATATAAATTACATATGTGTTTAGTATGTGTATACATGACAAGTACACATACAAATAAATATGCATGCATCTAATAAGTTCTCTATTTTGTATCGCAACATTAATAAACGTCATATATTAAAAACCACAGCAAACATCATAGTCAATGGTAAAAGACTGAAAGTTTTCCCCTAAGATCAGGAACAAGACAGGGATACTCTCACTTCTGTCATTTTTATTCAACATAATACTGAGAGAGCCACAGCAATGAGGCAAGAAAAAGAAACAAACAGCACCCAAATTAGAAAGGAAAAAGTTTTCTCTGTTCGCAGATGAGATGATCTTATTTATAGAAAATCCTTGGGGCGCCTGGGTGGCGCAGTCGGTTAAGCGTCCGACTTCAGCCAGGTCACGATCTCGCGGTCCGTGAGTTCGAGCCCCGCGTCAGGCTCTGGGCTGATGGCTCGGAGCCTGGAGCCTGTTTCCGATTCTGTGTCTCCCTCTCTCTCTGACCCTCCCCCGTTCATGCTCTGTCTCTCTCTGTCCCAAAAAAAAAAAATAAACATTGAAAAAAAAAATTTTAAATAAAAGAAAATCCTTAAGATTCCACAAAAAGACTATTAAAGCTATTAATGAATTCAACTAAGTAGCAGGATACAAGTCAACACACAAATATCCACTGCATTTCTACAAACTAACAACAATCTGAAAAGAAAATTATGAAAACACTTCCATTCGTAACAACATCAAAAACAATGAAAAGAATTAACCTAACCAAGGAGATGAAAGATTTGTACAATGAAAACCTCAAACCATTGCTGAAAAAAATCAAAGACGACATAAATAAAAGGAAACACCTATCATGTTCATTGGCTGGAAGACTTAATATTGCGAATACTGCCTAAAGCAATCTACAAATTCAATGGAACCCTATGTCAAATCCCAATGACATTTTTTGCAGAAACAAACAAAAAAACCCATCCTAAAATTCATATGGAATCTCAAGGGATCCCAAATAGACAAATCAATCTAGAAAAGAAGAACAAAGCTGAAGGATTCATAGCTCCTGGTTTCAAAACTTAACTGCAAAGCTGAAGTAAGCAAATCAGTGAGGTACCGGCATAAAGACAGATATAAAGACCAGTGGAATAGAATAGACAGCCTAGAAATAAACCATCACATATATAATCAAATCGTTTTTGACAGGAGGCCAAGATCATTCAATGGGGAAAGGACAGTCTTTTCCACAAATGGTGCTGAGAAAACTGGATATCCACAGGCAGAAGAATGAAGTCAGACCCTTACCTAACACCGTATGCAAAAATTAACTCAAAATGGATCAAAGACCTAAATGTAAGAGCTAAAATTATAAAACTCTTAGAAACAAACATAGAGCAAAAGCTTCATGTCATTGGATTAGGCAATGATTTCTTGGATATGACAACAAAGGTACAGGCAACAAAAGAAATAATAAACATGGACTTAATGAGAATTTTTAAATGTTGTGCATCAAAGACAGTATCAACAAGTAAAATAGTAAGCCACAGAATGAGAGAAAACATTTATAAATCATGTATCTTATAAGGGATTCATATCCAGAGTATATTAAATCTTTTTGTTTCATTTTTTTAAATTTACATCCAAGTTAGTTAACAATACAATAATGACTTCAGGAATAGAATCCAGTGATTCATCACCTACATATAACACCCAGTGCTCATCCCAGCAAGTGTCCTCCTTAACACCCCTTGTCCAATTAGCCCATCCCCCCACTATTATCCCTCCAGCAACGCCTTTCCTGTATTTAAGAGTCTCTTATGGTTTGTCCCCATCCCTATTTTTATGTTATTTTTGCTCGCCTTCCCTCATGTTCATCTGTTTTGTATCTCAAATTCAACATGAGTGAAGTCATATGATATTTGTCTTTCTCTAATTTCACTTAGCACAATACTGTCTAGTTCCATCCATGTTATTGCAAATGGCAAGACTTCATTCTTTTTGATTGCCGAGTAACACAGAATATGTTAAATCTTAAAACTCAACAACAGCAGCAAAAAATGAAACATAATTCAAAAATGGGCAAAGGAAGTGAAGAAACATTTCCTCAAGGAAGATATACAAATAGCCAAAAAGCACATGGAAAAATATTCAACATCACTGATCATTAGGGAAATGTGAATCAAAATTACCATAAGATACCATCTCATACCTATTAGAATGGCTACCATTAAAAAAAAAAAAGAACTGACAAACACAGAAAATAAGAAGTACTGGTAAGAATATGCAGAAGTTTGAAGAATACTTGTACACTACTGGTAGAAATATAAAAAGGTATAGCTGCTATGGAAAATAATACAGTGGCTCCTCAAAAACCTAAAAATAAATTACCATATGAACCAGGAACTCCACTTCTTAGTACATACAGAAAGGGAATGAAATGAGGGTCTCAGGGTCTTGAAGATATAGGTGTACACTCATGTTCATAGGGGAATTATTCACAATAGCTACAATGTGTAAGTAACCCAAGTGTCCACTGACAGATGAATGGATAAGCCAAATGTGGTGTGTGTCTATGTGTGTATATATATGTATATATCCATATATATAGATACAGATATAGATATAGGTACATAATAGAATACTTTAAATTATTAAAGTCTTTTTTTATTTTTTTTTTTAATTTTTTTTTCAACTTTTTTTTTTGGGGGGGGACAGAGAGAGACAGAGCATGAACAGGGGAGGGGCAGAGAGAGGAGACACAGAATGCGGGAACAGTCTCCAGGCTCTGAGCCAGCCATCAGCCCAGAGCCCGGCAGCGGGGCTCCTGAACTCACAGGACCATGGTGATCGCGAATCGTGACCTGGCTGAAGTCGGACACTTAACCGACTGCGCCACCCAGGCGCCCCTAAATTATTAAAGTCTTAAAGAGGAAGGAAATTCTGACATGCTATAACATGGATGAACCCTGAGGACATTATGCTAAGTGAAATAAGCCAGTCACAAAAGAGACATACTGTATGATTCCCCTCACGTGAAATACGTAAAGTAGTAAAAATCATACAGACAAAAAGGAGAAAGGCAGTTGCCAGCAGCATGGGAGGTGGCAGTGAGGAGTTACTGTTTGAAAGGTATAAAGTTTCAGTTTTACAAGACAAGAAGAGCTATGGAGATGGATAGTGGTGATGGCTGCAAAACATTATGAATGTATTTAAAAGGCCAGTGAACGGTATACTTAAAAATGGTTAAGATGGTGGGGTGCCCAGGTGGATCAGTTGGTTAAGCGACTGACTCTTGATTTCAGCTCAGGTCATGATCTCACGTGATCTGACAATGCAGAGTCTGTTTGGGATTCTCTCTCTCCCCTTCTCTCTCTGCCCCTCCCCCCACGTGCATGCACTCTCTCTCTAAAATAAACAAATAAACTTTATTTTTTAAAAAAAGGTTAAGATGGTAAGCTTTATGTTATGTGTATTTTACCACAATAAAAAAATATATTTTAAACTCTCCTTTGTCATTGGAGACAAGAAGTTGCATTAATCTCGAGGGAAAAACAATCTACTGTTTATGACCAAGTACCTACAAAAAACAAAAAACAAAACAAAACAAACAAAAAAAAAACAGGAAAAGAAATTACAGTTTGCAGTCAACTAAAAAGTATATAAACTATAAAATAATTTATATTACTATAAAATATGGTTTCTTTTATCAAACGATCTGTGTAGCCACATTCTCATTCATTCTTCCTACTATAGTCTATTTCACCATAATAAGGTATAGAAAAAGCCCTCTAGATACTTTACGCAACTTGGACTACTGTTGAGCTAAAAGTCTAGGACAGATCATAAAAATCTAGTAGAATTTTGCAGTCAGATTTCATCAGTGTCTTTTAGCCTGTTTCTCCTTCTTAAAGAGACTGAAATTGAGGACTGTAGATAAAACATATAGGCATGGTTTATATGTCAGTTTTTCCCCAAAGCATCCAACTTAAACTTTCAGAGTAACTTTTCACCATTGTGCTCTGTATTTTTTACACTTTGATTTTCTCCAATTACATATGGATACAGATTAAAGAGTCAAGTTATACTATAAAACTGTTACTGAAAGTCAATAATCTTACAACCCTCTTCCATTTCTTACTCCCCAGAGCCAACAACTCTCAACCCAAATGATTTTTTTAACTTTTCATTTTGAATTAATCTGAGGCTTATAGAAAGTTGCAAAAATAGTACAGTCTTCATATGCCCTTTACCTAGCTTTCCTTAATGTTAACATCTTACATAACCATAGTACAATTATCACAACCAGGAAACTAACACTGATACAATATGATTAACTAATCTGTGAACCTTATTCAAATTTTCACAACTTTTAGTTGTCTCATAAAATTTTATAGGATTTAGTAATTTTTTCGTGAACACAGGCACACTTTTCAGGCACTCATCCTCTCTATGTAATTATACCACCATTTTAATTAGATAATCATGTAAATGCTATGAATAGCTGAGCAAGATGACATAAAATATGATTATTTTTCCTTTGTTTCCATGAATTGATGATAGGCAGATCTTGTGGTGCATGTGTTTCCTTCATTTTCTATGTATTTCCTAGTAATTTGCTCCTAAACTACCTTCTAGTTTTGTAAATCAAATACGTTAATCAAATGCACTAGGCATTCATGTCCATTATCCTGAACAAGACTCTGCTT